GGCCGGCCCGCGGTGCTGATGAGCGCGGGCTGCGTCGGGCGCGCGGACCGCCAGGTGCGGAACATGGCGTGGGGCGGGCCGGGCTCCACGCTGACGTTTGGGGTTCCGCGCCGTGCTCACCCCTGGAGCCCGCGGGGAGCCCGCGGGGCGCGATTCGGGTGCTGTCCTCGTGGACGCGGAGCCACGCTCCCCTTGGCTGCGCCCGCAGGTCTGCGCCGGGTGGCTTTGGTTGTGGGCGACACCCGAGAGGGTGTTGGGTTCTTCTTTCCGGAGAAAACAGCAAACTTTTCTTTTGCACTTGATAAATTACGTAGGCGAGGTGACTTGTCACGCGCTGCTTCGTAAGTGTAGGTTAGAACTGTAGCCTGTTCACTCTTATCCTGGTGAAAGTTTGTGCTAGACTCGGTCCGTGTAGATTCGCACCAAACTTTGCCCTGTTTTATCCACTTGAGATTGTGTGTGTGTTTTAAACTTCATTGTTTCTATGGCGGCGCTTACTGATATTCTAATTTCAAAGTGTTGTGGTTGAAAATCAGTGGCTTTACTTTTTTGGATGGAGGGTTTATTTGGGGAGGGATGCTAGAGATTGAACCCTGGGCGATAGCACATCCAACTAGTGGCTTTAGTTTTTCAAAGGTTAATTTTTACCTTGTAGCACGGGGTTTTCCTCTGCCACCCGAGTCAGGTTTTCTTATCTTGCCTGGCTCCTCGAAATCCCTCATGATTTGTTTTGTAAAGTATCACACAGTTCAGTTTTTGTTTGTTTGTTTTTTTGAGACAGGGCCTTGCTAAATTGCCCAGGAGGTCCCGCCCTGCCCTCCTAAATTCTGGGATTACAGTCTGCAACAGCACAGTAGGTTTAGGTCAGGTGTAGGGTCTCTCTCCCAATTCTGAAAGGTTTTCACATAATCTTACTTTTGGAAGAGACCACATTCATTTACCTATAAAATCCTCAAGTTTTATCTTTCCAAAAAGTAGCACCCCACAAACTTGATGCAGTAAAATTTAAATCAGAGGATTGTTTCATTTTATTAACAAACTTTAAACGCTTGCTTTTCTAAAGTTAAAAATAAACGTTTTATGGGTCTGGGGGTGTAGCTCAGTGGTAGAGTGCATGCTTAGCATACACAAGGCCCTGGGTTCAGCCCGCAGCATCAAGAAAGTAAAAAGTTTTTTGTTTTTGTTCGTTATTTGAGACAGGGTCTCACTATGTTGCCCAGGCTGGCCTCAACTCACAGCTGTTCTCCTGCAGGTGTGCACTACTATGCTTGGTTCTAAAACAGATATTTTAAATGAACATACACAAATGGTTCTTTTTAGAAGCCGAACAGGTACTTAATTTAAAAAAGAATTTCTTAGATTAAAATTTCAGTTTCTGGATAAAAATTTGGTCAGTTTACATTTCTTCTGAGCACCTTCCAGGGGATAGGTTAGATGCTATTAGGATAATCCATTTCTTCCCTTTTCATTGTTTTTATAAATAACTCCTGGCTTGTGTACCTGCATAAACATTAGCACCTTGAGAACAGGTTCTAGGTTTTTGTTATTTCTAGTAATTTGTCTAAGTAATCGAACCTGTGGTGTTCCAAATATCGCTCACCCTTAAAAAAATAGCATCTTAGGGGCTGGGGATGTAGCTCAGCGGCACAGCGCCTGCCTGGCAAGTGCAAGGTCGTCAGTTCGATTCCCGGTACCGGAAAAAACAAACAAAAAAAGGTAGCATCTTTTTTTTATTTTAAAGAGAGTAAAAAATAATAAAAAAATTAGAAACGATACAGAATTTCAAAAAACAAGATGGTATGAATTCAGTAATGGTTGTTATATTGCATATTGTTGTCTTCAAAGTAGTTGTTCAGATTACCAGATATAAGCATGCAAAATTGGTCAAAAACTTTTAAACATTAACTGTTCCTTTAAATAAACCAATGAAAACTAGCAGTACAATTATTTTAGCTATCTTGTGTGTATATATATATTTTTTCCTCTTTCTTTTCCTTCCTTTCTTTCTTTGCTTCCTTCCTTCCTCCTTTCCCTCATCCCAATTGTTTTTTCCTTTTGAGCAGTTTCTTTCCCATTCACAATATCTATTGTACCTTTCTGGTTTTATTTACTATTTCAGGTTCTTACACTGCGGAGACAATATGATGTTTACACATGAGGATCTGATGTATTTCACTTATGAGTATGGTCTCTAGTTGCATCCATTTACCTATAAAATCCTCAAGTTTATCTTTGCAAAAAGTAGAATCTTAATTGAGAAGCAGTTTACCTGTTAATATGTGGAATTCACTGGCATTTATTTGCTTATTTTTGTGGTCTCGCTTGGGTAGTTCAGGCTGGACTTGTTTATAGCCTAAGCTGGTCTTGAACTTGCCTTTCTTTGATCTCCTGCCTCAGCCTCTGCAGTGCTGGGATGACAGGTGTGCACCATCATGCCTGGCCTCAGTGGCTTTTGGTGTACGCACAGAACAGCATATGAGAGACAGAATCCCCACAACTTTAGATCCCTAAAGGATGTAGTAAGTGGACCTGAAATGGACCAAAGGAACTCTGTTCTCTTCAGCAGTCATTGCCTGTTTCCCTCTGACTCTGACCCCTTCCAGCTGGGAAACCACTAATCTGCTTTCTGTCTCGGTAGATTCGCTCATCCTCGACCTTTCATGCACATGGAATGCAGTAGATGGTCTTTCCTAAGTGGCAGCATTCATACCTCATCTTTTCAGTGTTGGGCCACGTTGCAGTCTGTATCAGTGTGTCATTCTTTTTTGCGGCCGAATAATATATCTCATTGTATATAAGTATCTCATTGGATTTGTTCATTTATCAGTTATTAGACGTCTGGGTTATTAGCGTTTTGGGCCATGAGCATTTGTCAGTTTCTGTGTAAACACCTTCTCCGTGCTCTGAGGTGTGTCTAGTGGTAGGACTGTAGGGTTGTGTTCTTTGGAATGAATGAGCACGGAAGGGAAGCCTTGGGGTGTGATTTCTCCAGGGTTGGAGGGGCCTGTTGACCTTTTCTCCTCCCTTACCTGTGCCCAGTACTGTCTGTCTTCTCTGGGTGCGTTAGGATCCTCCCTTTCCATTAGCAGGCTCTCCTCGCGCTGCTCACGGCAGGGCCTTTTATATGTATTTGTTCTATGTTCATTAGTATAGGATGATAGGACAGGTGCCGTCCATACTGTCGTTAAATTCAGTGTCTAGTGCAGGTCTCGGTCTTCAGACGTCTTAGTGCTCACTTCTTTTAAACACCAGTTTTAGTGCTGTCCCCGCTACCTCGCTTCTGACATAATTTCTTGGTTGGTGTGCCTTTTTATTTTTTCTGGTGCTGGGAATTGAAGCCAGGCCCTTGAACATTCACTGTATCTGTTTCTCTCTAGTATTCTGGAAAGTTTTGTGGGGCTTAAAATACAACTTTAAAGACTGTCTTTTTTGCTAAAAGAAAAAAACAAAACCAAAAAACCCAAAACTCCAAACCTCAAAGATCCCCCGTACCTTGCTCAGCCTGCCCTTTGGGAGTTACAGATACATTAAGAAGGGACAGTCTCTAAATCCATACTTGCTGGGCCTTATTCTTCTCCACTGTTGCAACAAACAGAACAATCCCTTTAAAAGAAGTCTGTTCCCAAGCTCCTCTTTTGAGGCCTCTTTCGCTGAGGAATCAGCCTCATCTCTTAGTCCATCTACAATGCATTGATCAGCCGCAGTTTAGCTCTTTTTCACTAAACTCAGCTGACCCCCAGTTCGCTGGGTGCTCTTAGATTCTGCTTATATTCTTGTTCCTTGCGCCTGGCCTGCTCCCCGGGCCTGCGCTTCCCGGTCTCGTCCATTCCGTCTCAGTTGTCACTTTTTCTAGTTGGTCTTCCCTCAGTCCCGCACACGCACGGCAGCCTTCGTAGTCGTCGTGCCGTTACTGCTGTAGCACTTTTCCTCACGAACGCGTGGAGAAGGGCCACACAAAAATGTTGGCGTGGTTAGTTATTTCCAGGTGATGGAATTGTGGATCGTTTGTTTTCTTCGTGTTTATGTGCCTTTTCTAACATTTGCTCCTATGAATC